AAAAAAAAAAAAAAAATGAAGGAAATTCTGAGATATGCTACAACATGGATGACCCTTGAAAACATGACATTTAGTGAAATAAGGTACCTAAAACAGGAAAATTCATACAGATGGAAAGTAGAATGGTAGTTACAAGGAGCTAGGGAGAGGAGAAAATGGGGAATTGTTGTTTAATAGGTATAAAGTTTTGTTTGTTTGTTTGTTTTTGAGACAGTCTTACTTTGTCACCCAGGCTGGAGTACAATGGTGCGATCTTGGCTCACTACAACCTCCACCTCCCTGATTCAAGTGATTTTCCTGCCTCAGCCTCCCGAGTAGCTGGGATTACAGGTGCCCACTACCACACCTGGCTAATTTTTGTATTTTTAGTAGAGATGGGGTTTCACCGTGTTGGTCAGGCTGATCTCGAACTCCTGACCTCAGGTGATCCGTCTGCCTTGGCCTTCAAAAGTGCTGGGAGTACAGACGTGAGCCACCATGCCCAGCCAACGTTTTTGTTTTTTAACAGGTATAAAGTTTTTGTTTTGATCGGTATAATGTTTAATAAAGATTTTGTTGATGATGAAAAAATTGGGGGTATACATAGTAGTGATGGTGATACAACGTTGTAAATGTAATTAATATACACTTATGAGTGGTTAAAACAAATAAAAGTATATATCTTTTACCAAAATTTTTTTTAAAAATCAACGGGGTCTTCCTTCAAATAAAAGAAATAGATGCTTAAATTTGTCACTGATGATCTCGACAACCAGAAATAAAATAAAATTTTCTTCCAAACTCTGACAAAGGTAAAAGGCAGACGCGTTTTCTTAAAAACCGTGGAGGAAAGACAGGTTGAATTAGAGGAAAACAAGAGAAAAGCATCACAATTCCAGGAAAGAGGAACGACACATGGCAGGAGAGAATGACCCGAAACAGACACAGAGAGCTGTGAGACGACCCCTTTGGCTGTGGGAGCTGATGTGTGCAGGGAGTATCGGCCACAAGGCTGGTGGGTAAACTGGAACTGGGCTGCAGGGGGTCTTGAGTGTGAAGGGCAGGGAGCTCGTACGTCTAGCCAAACTCTAACCACGTTCTAGTTCATCTACGGCTTTAACAAAGAGGAAATCAACATCTGGAAGTAAGATGACTTCAGGGGCTTTGATTGAGGGTTGGCCACAGAAAGGTGTTCTCCCTAAGGAGAATGTTAACTTAAATCTGGGGGAGAAAACTCTTTTTCCTCCGCCCCTAATGGAGCCTTGCTCTTTGGATAGCAAAGGCTAGCCATCGTCACAGCACCAACGTCTGCATAGAGGCAGCCTACTCTGCCTGCACACAAATAGTGCTGGCCTCACACACCCCCGTTTACAAAATACCATAAAAACGTTTGGGTAGCCAGGCATGGTGGCTCATGCCTGTAATCCCAGCCCTTTGGGAGGCCAATGTGGGAGGACTTCTTGAGGCCAGGAGTTCGAGACCAACCTGGGCAATACAGTGAGACCCCATCTCTGCAAAAAATTTAAAATAATTAACCAGGCATGATGGCAGGTGCTTGTAGTCCCAGCTACTTGGAAGGATGAGGTGGGAGGATCACTTGAGCCCAGGAGTTCAAGGCTGCAGTGAGCTACGATCACACCACCACACTCCAGCCTGGCCAACAGAGTGGGACTCTATCTCTTAAAAAAAAAAAAAAATTGGCAATGACAGCTCTTATTTTTTTCATAACACATGCAAATTAATCCTATCCAGTAAGTTGGTCATTTTTGTAAGAAACTTTCCCATTCTCTATTCTTGGCTAGGGAGGCTTATGTCCAAACCTTCAGTACACATATGTTTAATCTCTTCAGTTCAATGTGGAGACTTCTGAACATATTGTCTTCAAATGACTATATTTGAACCAGTATTTAACATAGTATTAAAAGAATTATGGGTTAAACGGGTGAGCTAGGTTGGAAGCCTCACAACCAACTAGAACACATTACTCCTACAGAAAATCATGTCTGACCATACATTTACCTGTGAAGCTGTGGAAAAGCATCTGTGGCTAAGTCAAAGGTTGCCTGTATTAGGATTTTGCTGGCATCATTGATTACTTGATCCATTTCTGAAACTGAAATGGGGCCGGGCACCGTGGCTCACACCTGTAATCCCAACACTTTGGGAGGCTTAGGCAGATGGATCGACTGAGTCCAGGAGTTCAAGACCACCCTGGGCAAAATGGTGAAATGTCTCTAACAAAAAAAAAAATTAGCTGGGTGCGGTGCCACACACCTGTAGTCCCGGCTACTCAGGATGCAGAGGCGGGAGGATCACTTGAGCCTGGGAGGTCAAAGATGCAGTGAGCCATTACCACACCACTGCACTCCAGCCTGGGTGTCAGAGTGAGACCCTGTCTCAAAAATAAAATAAAGCGGCCGGGCGCGGTGGCTCAAGCCTGTAATCCCAGCACTTTGGGAGGCCGAGACGGGCGGATCACGAGGTCAGG